GTGACTCTTACCTGCTTGAGAAAACCGTATCAATTCCTGCTTTCTTTCTGCTTTTGCTTTTACACAACAAACACTTAACTTAGTTGGCTAGATAATAGAGAATCATTGAGTAAGCAGTAGATCTAGACCCCGGGTTGATAATATAACTTGTCACTTTACTGCATTCCCGGACTTCGATTATACTTGGTCGCAGTTTGGTGTTGTGTTTTAGAGCATCAGTATTCTATTATTGCTGACGTTGGGTTGTTTGTATACCTATGTATTCATCTTAGTAATAGCTTTCTTTTCATTTGTAGAGGAATGATTGCTGATTCTTCCTATGGGTGGACAAATATATGAGAAAGAATGCATCAGTGTGGTCTGCACATGACGATGAGAAGGCTGGAATCATGACAAAACTTATGAAAGTTGAAAGAGTTGATTAGAACTAGAGAAGCTTATGCAAGGAGGATTTCCGAGTTGAGCAGAATGAGCACTGTTATCCTATGTCTTGACAACAGGATAACAAACACGATCTTCCTTATAATTGGTGTACTAGCTTATGATGTATTTTTTAGATTCCAGGGAATTTGAGTGGTGTCGCAATATGTAGAAGACAAGTGTAGTTTCATTTCAGTATTGTTTCCTACTATGAATTTTTTTAGTCAATCTGTGGATCATTGATATTACTAGAACAAATTCTGAAGAGTGCTTGTTCATTCAAAGCTAAATTGTTTCAAAACAATGTGACAAAGTTACATACAGTTTGGGACAAGATGTATAGAGCCTGTACAAAATGCAAAATGTGCCGGACCAAAAGGAATCACCTTACAAGCTCTATTGACATTGTTCCATAATGTTAGAGGAATTGAGCTTGTAGAATACGCAAAATATGGTGAACCAAAAGGAATCACCTTACAAGCTCAATTTGTAACCTTCTTCCCTACTAACAAACTGTCCTACCCTAAACAAAAGCAAAAGACACCACAACATGTAATTCGAAAAGCAGCTCTCAATCCATCTGTTGCGGTTGAGACTCATGTTGAGTTGAAGGTGCTCCAGTTGTATCAATCTGAGTTGGTTGGGTTCCAAGTCTCTTTGCAGAAGTACCAGCTCCACCAGCTCCATTTCTGACTCCAGTCTCAAGATTAGAATATATACAATCAGCCCCTAGTGCATGTGTAAGTTCTCCATCAACAACTAAATTCCTATGAAGGTTCCCAACTTCTGCAACCTACATCATGAAAACAATCAAAGGGTTTAAATTCCATCGTTCATAACTGTATATGGGCGCTGGGCCGGCACGACACGATCACGCTTCGAGCCCATTTATTTCGTGTCGTGCCATACAAGCCCATTTGTTAACTTTGCTAGGCCCGGCCCAGGCCCGAGCACGGTTCGAATCGTGTCGTGCCTATTCGTGCTCGTGCCATGCTCGTATAGTCGTATTCGTGTTTGATGAAAAGGAAAAAAGCAAAAGAGAGAATGAAAAAGAAGGTGAGAATTGGACGGGAAAGATTGTATTAACCGATAATGTTTGAGAAAAGTAACAAATAAGGGCAAAAGAAAATTGGAAGTATAGCGAGTGCGATTTGGCTTTGTTTAATTCTTTGTCCATTTTTACTTATGTTAGTAATTACGTATATATCTTTATGACACTTCTAACAACAACAAATAATTATTTTTCTACTTGTGTTTTGTAATATTTGAGCCTATAATTCTTTTTATATTTATTTTCTATCAAATAAATATTATTTTCGTGTCATGTCCGTTCTTATACTCAATAAAATCTCGAAAATAGTAGGCCCAACACGACCCACTTATATACCATGTCGTACCCGTGCCCATAAAGTTTAGACCTGGCACGGTCCATAAATTATTCGTGCCGGGGTGCCCATTTATTTCGTGTTCGTGCTCGTGTCGTGCTCTAACCGTGTCATGCTAGCCTGTGGGTGGCACGGCTCGGTGCCCACGTACATTCATAACAAGAAACAAATGCTAAAGTGTCACCAAAGAAACTTACAGGTTCTTATCTATTCTATGTACAACTTCTTGCGTTACGAGACGTTGACCGACCTTTAGAGCAGTGCATAACCTTCTAAATACACCACACAACAAAAATATCAAGAAACCAGAAAAAATATAAAATGTTCAAACTAAAGATTGAACAAGTAGTATACCTTTGGTTGAGCTGATGGTCCAGCCTGCTGCCCTCTGGTTCTTCCAAGAGTAGTTTCTCCAATCTGATTCCCTTTCCCTCTAGCTTGATTCCCTCTCCCTCGAGCCTCATGCCCTCTCCCTCAAGCCTTCTGCCCTCTCCCTCTACCACGAGTTTCTCCTCTAGTTTATGGGTTGGGACATTTCCTCGCATTGTGACCCGTACTACTACAGTTGGAGCAATGTAGAACCAATCCTTTTTTTGACATGCATGTACCAAAAGGCCTCCCACCCTTATGCAGCCTTTTCTCAAGCACACCTGCTTCTTTTCTCCACTTCTTTTTTGGTCTCCCTAGCATGGCCTTTTGCTTTGAAGGGTAAATGGGATAACCCTCAGCCTTAGGTCAAGCCTGCTGTCCAACCAAGCATGGAATGCCTCCTTTGTAACCCTTAGAAACAGTAGGCACATAGTAAAAAGGATCCACATAATCCTCTAAATGCAACCTCATTAACCCTATTGCAGACAACATGGCAACAAGGCAGACCACTTAAGTCCCAATCAGCACAAGTACAAGTACGTTTGACTCACTCCTACTGTCACTCTAGAAATTGGCCAAGTGTAACCACTTCCTAAAGCGTAGTATAGCGGGTTTGGGTTTTAATGTTAACCCGGGTCCTAGATTTGATGACTACTCGGTGAATTCTTGTTATCTAGCAATGAAACTTTAGTGCAAGTCTAAACTAACAAACAAGCAAAGCAACTAAACGGTTGTTTTCAGGTTAAGAGAGGTCACCCGGATATGGTTCCCCCTAGACTGCAGTTAAGCCGGATTGCAATTACCAAGTTCAATTTCTATGATAGTTATACTGCGGAAGGTTCTTAAGCAGTCTGAAGTCTCGACTAAAGGTCTCCAGACCCTCTCAATCTGAGTCTCTAGCGGGCAACTAACCTCCACCGGAGTAAACAGTTTGAGGCCCTAACGAACAAAACCTCCACTACCGAAGTGAATTCGGTACAGAATAGTGAGTTGGCTCCTCGACTAAAGTCACCAACTCCCTACCTTCAATCAAGGATGCTCTATCAACCTAGGGAGATATTCTCATTCTAGGTTAAAGCAGAAACAACAGGAATTTGATCAGGATTCATGCCATTCAATCATTCAAACCTCAATTGAATATAATCAAATCATAGAATCAGTACTTGGGTTCATACAATTAGACCTAACATACAAATCTAGGGTTCTCCATACCCAGATGAATGGGAGAACTACTCCATGGAGAAAGAAGCAAAAGCAGATTCTGACGCGGAAATCATACTGTGAAGAATGGATTTCTGCTCCTGGACGTTGATCGGCGCTCCTCCAAGCTCAAGCCAAGCTCCAATGGTGATGAAGATCAAGCTAGGGCACTTGGGGACTCTTGTTCGTCGCTTTCTCTCTCTAGGAATCACTCTGTCTCTCTAAAACTCGAATCCCCTTCTGTTTTGGCTGAAATCTGCCTAAAAGGGCATCACTGGGCAAAACACGGTCGAGGGCACGGCCGTGTTCTGCTCCAGGCCGCCCGTGCCCTTGCCAAGTGTTAAATACACGGCCAGACTTTTGGGGAAAACACGGGCGTGCTTTTGGTGGACACGACCGTGTTCTGTCTCAGTGCTGCCCGTGTTTTGAGCTAGTGTTTGACAGACTCAGATCAAGTCTCGACAGTAAAAGGACGGTCTAGGAACACGACCGTGTTCTGATTTAGGCGTGCCCGTGTTTTGGCTCCAGCTCGACCGAATGACTTCCGAATGCCCCGAAACTCGTGCTTAGCCTTTCCTTCGACGCCTGGGACCTGAAATCAGTCTCGTCGTTACTTCATGAGGTCTTTGCATAAGCAAACCTTACTAACACGTTATTAGAAATTAATTCTTTTTTACATGAAAGTCATTCTCACTTCCATCCTTAATACTTTAGTCCTTAATAACTTATAGATGTTCTCTACTTCTATCTTTACTTATATACTGATTACTAGGGTTCACCGCGTTACGTATCGCCGTCCAGTGTCCCTATCCTCAAGGCAATGGTACTGCGTTACGTATCGCAGTCTAGTCCATGCCCGGTCAACTACTGCGTTACATATCGCCGTCCAGTAGTGAACCAATATCCTTGATCAACTGTTGCGTTACGTATCGTCGTGCAGCAGTGATCCGATCATCTACCGCGTCCAGTAGTGGCCCAACTGCCCGGGGGTTCATATTACCATTAACCATGCATTTCGACATACATTTGCATACATAGCACAACGTGTGCCTCCACCTTAAGTAGGCGGTGGGATGCCTCACGCACATAATCCGATCATGATCCATAACCTCAATTGGTTTGCTATTTGTCCTCTGCTAGACGCCATTGTCTTAACCTCGTTGTGTCGAATCATTCAGCTCATCCAGAACATATCCCATAGTTAGTAAATGGAATAGACCAACTCAATTTGCAACATAATGCCCTTAACCCATGTGAACTAATTAGATCCATTCCTAGCTCCTAGTTCTCTTTGTACGTGCAGCTAACCACACATAACATAAATATAAGCAACTCTAGCTGGCTTTGCTTGTAATCAACCAAAATTCATTCATATCCTCCACTCATATGACTATAATCCACTCAAGTCTATATATATAAACCTTGCTTATGTACCCACGTAACATATATGCATATATGTCCATTATATATCTTTGTTTGAAGTAATAAATTACAGACAACTGGTTCATTCCACCTAACCACTCACTTCCATATTCTGTACGCCGTAATTATCAAATCACATACCCCATAAAACAACGTATTCATTGAGCCTAAGGACTTACCTACATATTGAACAGACGCAATCGCCTACTTCACCGCTCCAGTTCTTTCTTTGACGATCGCTTCCAGTAAAGACCACGACACAAGCATAAGGTGCAGGCTATGCTCCATGGGTGCAACACTGACGATGATATCTGAGGCATCCCCTTCCACTGGTGGACGAAGAACTGGTCCTCTTAATATACGTCTCCGTCTACCATCGCCGTCCATGGAGCCATCAAGAAACTCCATGCTCGACTGTCATTTGCTATATCTGGCGTGGCTCTCGACTTTGAGGGATTGAGACTTACTAGCTAGGGGAGAATTGGAGCTGGAGGGGTGGATTTCTTGTGAGGAGATGGAAGTAACCGCTGCTCTCTCTTCTTCATTTATCGCGTTGGCCAAATGACTCACCCGTTCCAAGGAATTCATGGCCCCTTTAATTTAGAACTGGGTTAATTGCAATGATGGTCACTGGGTTTACTAAAACCGTTCATGTACGTTTGGTCACTGCAAATATTTAATTCCATTCATGGTCACTAAGATTAGTTCAATAGTTCAAGTTTGGTCACTCTCTGTTAGTCTCCGTTTGTTTTTGCTGATGTGGCAGTCAACTATTATAGTTGACCGTTAAATGAGTGACGTGACCAATAAAAAAATAAAAAAAAATTAAATATTTGCAATTTCCACCTCATTTTACAACTATTAAAAAATAAAACTAAAACTGATTTCGATTCAACAAATTTCTCTCAACTCATGGCCGCCATCTACAAGCTCCCCTCCCTCTCTCCTCTTCCTCCTTCTTCCTCCGACTGCACTAGCTATTATCATTCAGTCCGCACAAACCCAAACACCCTCTGCTGTCTCCGCGCCGCCTCCCCTTTCACCGAAAAGCACTCCCTCCAGCAGTACCGCCGTGACAACTGGCTCTATAAGGAGCACCTTCCGCCTTTCTCTTCTTCTATTCCTTCTCCTCCCCCATTTCGTGAAGGTGATGATGAAGATTCCATCATGCAAAACGACATCGCATTGCAGCTCCCGGAGCTCAAGAAGCTGCTTCAAGTCCTCAGGGAAAAGAGACTCCTAACGCAACAACATTCTTCTCCCGACGGCGATTCTCAGAAACCCTGCTGCGGAAGTGCCTTCTTGGTCGGCACTGGCCCTGGTGACCCCGACCTCTTGACAATCAAAGCTCTGCGAGCAATTCAGAAGGCTGATCTCTTGCTTTATGATCGGTTGGTCTCTAATGACGTTCTCGATTTGGTTGGCCCCGATGCTCGATTGCTCTACGTCGGCAAGACTGCTGGCTACCACAGTAGAACCCGGGTAAAATAACACCAGAACAATTGAGATTGCCCAATCCCAACCCCAAATGACTCCAAATGCTATTAGTTCATTGCAATTTCATGGATTCCCACATTAGATCACTCAGTTTCAATTAGCTATATCAACTGCTTAGTGTGGGTGACCCATTCGAGAATTTTGTCAATGTGGGCTTATGGATGAGTCTTCTGTCGGAGGTAAGTTTTATTTTTATTTTTATTTTTTAATAGTTGTAAAATGAGGTGGAAATTGTAAATATTTAAAAAAAATTTATTTTTTTATTGGCCACGTCACTCATTTAACGGTCAACTATAATAGTTGACTACCACATCAGTAAAAACTAACGGAGACTAACGGAGAGTGACTAAACTTGAACTATTGAACTAATCTTAGTGACCATGAATGGAATTAAATATTTGCAGTGACCAAACATAAATGGTTTTAGTAAACCCGGTGACCATCCTTGCAATTAACCCATTTAGAACTTTAATCCCTATTGAAGTCTCCAACCCCCACGTTCCGTTACCACTTCCCCGGCAGCAATTCAGCTTCCAGTTCCTTCCATGGGAACGATTTCCCCTGTTTCATTATGGCCTAATAACGTCAAAACATGGATGAACGGTTTTGTGGCTCAAGTGGCCCAAAATTGAAATCCACTAACCCATAAAAGTGTAGTTTGAGCCTACGTAAGTAATTAAGCCTTGGTCCTTAACTCGGTTCAGTTTGATTTTGAATTTTTCATACGTAACTATTGATACAACCGTTTATTTATTATGGTCGAACCTGAACCCAAATGTCGGGGTGTCATAGTTTTATTCCACTAAATCTGACTTGGGAACTCTAGATAGGAAGGCACAATAGAAAGTTTGGGGATCTTGTTCCATAAAGTCCTTATAGGGTGTCATGTAGGGGGGGCAGTCGATCGGTTTCGGTTTAACCGAAAACCAAAAACTCAATTATCGGTTAAACCGAGCCACCCACTATAGTTGTCGACCACCGACCGTGAGGGAGGTCACGGTTAGCTGGCCAACCGATCGGTCAGGTTCGGTTTTAGGCTCGGTTAGCCGGCCAACCGAAAAAACCTACCTTCTCTCCAAAAAAAAACACTAAAAATTAATTAAAAAAACAAAAATTCTCCACCACTCAATCCTTATCTCCTTCTCTCTCCTTCCTTCCTCCACCAACCCACCAGACCACTTTTCTTCTCTCTCCTTCCTTCCTCCACTATTTCAAACCCACCATACCAAACCACTTCTCCTTCTCTCTCCTTCTCTCTCCATGGATGAATAGATCTGCAGAGACTGACGGAGATTGACAAGGCGCCGGCGGGGTAGGGAGAAGACGGAGGAGGGGTCTCGAAGATGGGAGACCAAGCGTCGGCATGGGAGGAGGACAAGGCGGGGCAGGGAGAACCGGAGAAGGCGTAGGAGTGGGTCTCGGAGACCTAGCGCCGGTGGGGGGATGCTAGCAGGCAGGGGGCCTGTCGAGCAAGGGAGGAAGTTCGAAGGTCTCGGCGGCCCTGCGACTGCGATGTCTCGGTGGCGTCTCGGGAAGGCAGCGGTCGGCGGTGGAACGCGGGGAGACGGTGGGGAGACGGCGGGGATTAGATCATCACGTTGGGAGGGTGGAGGAGGCGGCAGTGCTGGCTGCTGCTGTGAGTGGAAGAAGACGAAGGTAGGGTTGGGAGTGTTTTAGATTTGCTACTAGCAAATCGGTGTCGTCTCTTGTCGGTTGGTTGCGTCGGTTGGCTGGTTAACCGGCTTCGGTTTATCGGCTAGTCGACGAACCACTAACATATACCGGCCACCGACCGATGCGCGTATTCCTCGGTTTTCGGTTAGCCGCTAATCAGCGGTTAACGGTTAGACCGTGCGGTTAGCCGCTATCCGGCAACCGAAATGACAGCCCTAGTGTCATGTCAAATTGTGTACTTTGGAACACTTCCATATTTTGGGTGACACCTCTAAAATCATGCTCATTAATCACATAAACTGCCTCCCAGTAAACTCCTCTCATCTGCTCGTTCTTCACCTTCGTCTTCCAATTAGCAACCACGTGTCGGGCGCACTTTCTATGCTCCGCACTTGGCATTACTTTGTGAATGGCTTCCACTAGACCCTGATAACCAGCCACACATGTTCAAAATTAGAGTCTCTAAATTTAGAAATCAGAATGCTGAAAAATTAGAAATATAAATCACCACTAATTGAAGTACCTTTTGTTGGTCTTAAATTACACTCCATCCACTTCCATCTCCGAATCCTAACTCTTCTTGTAGAGTGTTCAGAAACCAAGTCCAAGAACTCCTATTTTCGTCTTCAACAACTGCCCGTGCGAATTGAAATATATGTTTGTTGCTTCTTCTGGAATGTACTCTTCATCAGATTCACCCTCCTCATCATAACCCACACATGTATCAGGTTGGTTCACTTTTTCACCGGAACCACTATCTGGAGTGCTAACTGGAGTGCAAAACTGGTCATCACCCCCTCTTCTTCATCAGATGCCTCATTGTAGCTGGAGTCACCTACGTTGAATATGTCCCTTGCAGCAGACCCCTCTCCCAGGTCATGTGCCTCAACAAAAAAAGCACCTCAAATCCCTTCTGCAGTCTCGTTATCCCCCATGAAGCCATCTTCTCTCTCAGTAACCTCGACATGCACAATCACCGCCTTAGTCTCGAATGCATCAACAACCAAGCCCTCAATCACTTCTTTATCAGATTTCACTTCATGGAGGCCATCAAACATTGTGGATCCTGGGGTCAGGTACCAAATCTTCTGGACGCCATCATAGTCCAAGTGCACCGTAGTCAATGCCACAAGTCCAAAATACAACACTTGATCAACATCAACGTTGAAATTCTCACAACCCCCCCCCCCCCCATATATAGTGGTGCCCCACCAGAGAAGTCCATCTCGCCTCTGTGATGGTAATCAATCTCCACATATTCAATCATTTGCATGGTCAAGTAAAATACATGTTGATATTGTGCTTGGAAGAAAACAGACACAGTAAAAGACAAGAAAGTCTAGCCAACAACCAAAAAAGGAGGACATTTTCGAAGGATGCAGCCAACAACAGTAAAATATTCCCATTCACATGTGTTGGTTGTTAAAAGATGGGCAGATTTGGATTCCCTACCACTGCAATTGACAATTATATTTATAAATTCCAGTTTCTTTCACGTTAATACAAGGGCAATTTCGTGAACAATCTGTAAAGGTCTCGTTGTGGTCCTCACAACCAACTTGCACAACCAGTTTCGAAGAATCAAACAACAAATACCGGAGTAGATTGCTAGATTCGCGAAACCCTAAACCATCAGAATGATTAATGTTCGAATTGGAGAAACACTAAACATTCAAAACCTAATTTCGAGTTTTCTGATAAGATTTCGACATAGACTAGGTCAGAGCCACCTTACCTTTGTCGAACGAAACGTCACTTCCAGCTTCGCTTTATCTACCCAAATCCATCACCACTTCGACAGAACCCATATTGCGACTCCTTTCCCGCCTCAAATAGACTTCCAGTGGCGCGATTTCGCGGGACAAAGTGTGGGGGCGGGGGATTTCACAGGCTATGTAAGTCTCGCCGCCTCGCCTGCAAGACATGTAGAGAATCCTCGCCGGCGAAGTTGTTAGATGATCTTCGAAGACGAAGGGGGAGACAAACGAGAGAATAAGTCGGGTGGTGAGTGGATGTGAGTGAGGGAGGTAAAGTAATTTTCTTTTTTCACACTTTTTGTTTTACATAACTCAGGTAATGCCATGTAGACGACCACGTTGTCTATCCACCTCGGAATTTTTAGGCCAGCTCAGCATTGCGGACAAACGAACTAACGAGTCATTAACAGGCAACTAACGATAGGCTAATAATTTGTTAGTTGTGACTATAATTCCCCGCTTCACAATAATTGTGGCTAATATATTGTATTTACCCTTTTTCATTAGGTTAATTACAAGATTGGTCACTGAGATTACTAAAAACGTTCATGTTTAGTCACTATAAATATTTAATTGCATTCGTGGTCACTAGTTTTAGTAAAACATGTCATGTTTAGTCCCTCTCTGTTCAACTCCGTTAAATTTGTCAGATGTGGCAGTCAACTCTAATAGTTGACCATCAAAAGTATGACATGGCAATTAAAAATTAATTAAAAATTTCCAGCTCTTTATCTTTATTACCATTAAAAATAAAAAAAGTATTCATTTTTATTCCCTAAAGCTACTGAATCCCTTAAACCTAATGACCTAACCTCACCCCTATTTCTCAAAATTAATTCAAGTTCAAGAACACCTTCTAGAATCGGGGTCGGTGGAGGCGCCGTAGATGCAGAAGATTATGTGGCAGCAACCTATGATTCTAGGATTGCGGTAGGGGATTCGGTCGGGGACGATGCAGGGTAAGAGATGATTGGTTGGAGCGTGTTTGAGAAGAGAACGAAGTGTAAGGTCTGTCGTCGTCCTTGCGCATGACCAGAATCCGAGCCTTGTCGTTGCGGTGGTGACTGGTTTCGTCGAAGAGAATTTGGCAGATGAAATCGGGATCGAAGAGAAGGCGTCGCCACAATTTGCAGACCCAGCGGAATCGGTGGATGGAGGATGCAGAGGGAAGCCTGAGAAGGACCTGTGTGGTTAATTCTTCGGGAACCACCAGGCGCCGGTGGGATTGCGTGGTTTTGGGCTTCGACGAGCTGCAAGGGCATCTTTTGGCGTGGGCTTCGACGCCCTCCATCGTCATCCGAAGGCGAGATAGAAGTTCGTTCGGTTGAATCTGGTCGAGACATTGAGGATCAGCAAGGATTGGGACTAGGGATGGCAAATTACCCACCCATGGGTAATTATACCCAAACCCAAGTAGACCCATTGATAATGGGTTGGGTATGTGTGAAGTGCATATGGATTTGAGGGTTTATAGATGGGTTTGGGTAAGGTATGAATATTGCTTTCATAATCTAAATGGGTATGGGTTTGATATGGATATCCATTTACTTGAGGGTGTTTTAACTACACATGCAAAAATTGGACCTATTTGTAAATCTTGAAAATTTTAGGTACCAAAATGTAAGACCAAAAAAAATTAAGGTACCAAAACGTAATTTTCCATCGATATTTTGAGGACTTATATGCAAAAAAAAAAATTTAGGTACTAAATATGCATATCTATTAAGTTTGGGTACCAAACTGTAATTTGTATTTGGGCATGGGGTACAAACCCAAATCCATTTGATATCAACCCAACTCAACCCAAAGTAAATAGGTATGAGTACAAACCCATCAAACTCCACTCATATCCATCTATTTGGATTTCATACCCAACCCAATTGGGTTGGATAGTAAAACACCCATGGTTATGGGCAAAGTTGCCATCCCTAATTGGGACTCCCCCACGGTGGCTTGGAGACGATAGCGGACCTGGAAACTCATTCAGTGGGCCGGGTTCTGGTTGAACGGCCCGAATCTAGTGCCCAAATCATGGCTCGACATCGACAAATTTTGAAAGAGGTGAGGTTTGTTTGTTAGCTTTAGGGATAAAAATGAATACTTTTTTATTTTTAATGTTAATAAAGATAAAATGCTGGGAATTGTAAAAAAAATAATTTTAATTGTCGCGTCCTACATTTAACGGTCAACTCGGAGAGTTGGCTGCCACATCAGACAAATTTAACGGAGTTGGACAGAGAGTGACTAAATATGACATGTTTTACTAAAAACTAGTGACCACGAATGGAATTAAATATTTTTAGTGACTAAACATGAACGTTTGTAGTAATCTCAGTGACCAATCTTGCAATTAACCCCTGTTTCATTCATATATTATGGTATGTTATATTTATATATCATTATCAGCCGCTGTGTTTTATTATTTACATCTAGGGAACAGATCATATGCATAAATTTATGGTCGATAACCATGCATAACTCAATCATCATTTGCCACATCATCACCCTCTCTCTCTTGTATAGTTTTTAATCTTTTCCCATTTAATTTTTTAACGGATGATTTCTCTCTTGTTTTAAGTCGGAATTCAATTTTTTTGCATAGATAAATCATATTAATTGTGCTCTTCAAAATGATATCCACTTTGATATATGTTTTAAACAAAAAAAAATTGAGGCATTTTTCCCCGTCTATATCATGGTGGTATTGATTGATATTAAAATAAGAGCATACCATATGGTATGAACAACGTACCATGGTGGTATGAACATACCAAGACTGTAGGATAGTTGAATACATGACTATAGGAGTATACCAATAGATCATGATGAACTCATTCCTTCTATGCAAAAATTTTCAAAAACAACTTAAAATGAAGAAAATATCATATGGTATGGAGTTGGTAACGAAAGGTATGCAATTTTTTTCTCAAAAAATAATGAAAATGGATCTCATTTTGTAGAGCACAACGAATTCGTTCCATCAGTGCAAAAAAATTGAAATCCAAGTTAGAACGAAGAAGATATGATTCGATTAAGAAAAGTAGGGGATATAAAATGTCTTTAATTCTCAACACTTAGATCTACAACCTAAGTTTACTCACCATATCTTGAGCCATCCATACGCAATGAGATTAAGTGAATAATTTCGACTGCATAATCATTTGAATTATGTTTTAACGAATGATAACTCTATTTTTAATTTGAAAAAAATACTTTTAACAAAAAAGTTACGTTTTATTGTATTCATCTAGATTATTTATATTATATACAGTTGAAAATACATAATCAGTGTAAAAACAGTTTCATGGTGCCTACTTTGGAATTCATATCTTACAATTGGCTAGATGGAAATTGGAGATTAATGGCTTGTTTTGAAGCTGAAGTGTCCCTCTACACATTAAAGTACTTGCGAGCTCGAAAGGAAGTCCAGAAGACCATTTTTGAACCTGATCAAAAGGCTATGCAAAAACTGGGAAACTGCCTGAGAATGACTAAGTCTGGGAATGTGTTTGTGAATCCTACTTTGGAGCTCAATTTGAGAAGCATGGATGCGAGTCGAGTCCAAAGGCCTATACCACGTTAAATTAGGTATGTTTGTCTACAAAGGCAATGAATTGGATGAAAGATTTGATATCTTTAAGGCTTCAAACAAAAGGCTTGAAGTTGTAATGAAGGCTTTTTTCTGACAGCTTGCTTTTGCTCGAAGTCTGCCAGAAAAACAGCCTTCGTAGCAACTTCAACCCTTTTGTTTGAAGCCTTACAGATATCCAATCTTTTATCCAATTCCTTGAATTTGTATAAAACATACCTAATTTAACGTGGTAGAGGCCCCTGGACTCGACTCGCATTCATGCTTCTAGAATTGAGCTCCAATGTAGGCTTCATAAACATGTTTCCAGACTTAGCCATTTTCAGGCAGTTTTCTAGTTTTGGCATAGCCTTTTGACCAGGTTGAAAAATGGTCTTCTGAACTTCCTATCGAGCTCTCAATCACTTCAATATGTAGAGGAACACTCCAGCTTCAAAACAAGCCATTAATCTTCAATTTCCATCTAGCCAATTGTATGATATGAATCTCCAAAGTAGGCACCATGAAACTATTTTTACACTGAAACACCATATTAGGTCGACCTAATCCTGAATGAGGTCGACCTAATCCTAATGAGGTCGACTTAATCGTAAATGAGGTCGACCTGATCCTAATGAGGTCAACCTAATCCTAATGAGGTCAACCTAATTCTAACTGAGATCGACCGAAAAGTGCAAGTCACTGTGACATGCATGTCATCATAGGCGCACCCTTAACTTTAATGAATCTTATCTCATTTGTTTAATTTGAATAATTATTTTTTCACTTTAAAATCAAATTAATTATCCTCTACAAAATGAGACTATGCTATATAATTTTAAATAAAAAAACATGTTAGTCAAGCATCCAAAGCATCATATTTAATAGCATTCCGGAACCACCAATTTCCCTATTGTAGTGCCTGATCTATTTGACAATTTCTAACTACATCCCACCTTCTTTTTTCATTAGATTGTAACGAAAGTGGATCTCACAACAGATATGTGACTAAGCTTATATGCTAAAAAATCCACCTAGAATGACCAAGATACTCCACAATTAATTCACGATCTACAAATTCAAAACAAAAATGGTAATTCCGGAGATGCAACCATCATTGACCACTAAACTTTCCAAAGCCGCTTTTACAAAATAGGCAATGAAATCTAAATATTAGAACAAGTTATTTGCAAAGACACGTTACTGTTCATCTAGACACAATTTACTGTTCATTTAGACTCAAAATTACTGTTCACCCTCTCCTAATTGGTCCACCTTTGCGGCCGCATTTTCTTATTGGCTGCTCAGTTGTGGGTGGGCCGGTTTTTTATTTGTTTTCTATTGCTCCTTTGTGTGCCACGTTGCCCTCAAATGGACGCTTATTTTCCCTGCGTTTTCTGCTTCTTTCTATCGTTTCCCCTGAGGCCGCCCCGTATAATTATTACACGCACTGCTTTGCTCTCTTCTCTTGCACGTGGGCTTTGTTTCTTGTCTTCCTGGATTTCGGCCAATGATGGGCGCGCCATTTTATATACGGCGATTTGCATTTGGGCCTAGGGGAGCGGTTCTCTTTGTGACCTGATATCTGACAACCGCCTATTCGGCGCCTGGAACCCTTCGTTGCTTTTTATGGTTTCATTGGCGGTTCCTTGATTTTACGTTGTCCTTATCTTTTTGTTACTCGCAGTGTCGTTTCTCATTTTTACGTTCTCTTCCGTCATTGGACCGGTAACTGACATGCAGTACTATCACGTCTGCTCATTCCTTCTTTCATTTTTTATCTTTCGTGGCGCCGGAACTTCCCTCCTGTCATTCTGTTTTCTTTCTCAAAAAAATTTCTTTCTCTCTCTTTGGTTTTCTTCTTTTCCCCAACCATGGAGTTTACGCTGCATTGTAACCTTGGAGGTCCTCGCAATGCCAGCGTTTCTTTGCGGCTCCGCATGTTGCATGTGTGGCCGGCGAAGTCCCCGGGGGACATTAGGATCTACAATTACTGCACTCTTTGGGTCGACGAAACAGTTGAGTTTCTGTCCTTCTCGCCTTTTCTTTCCTTCCCCCGTTTGCTGTGTCCTCTTCGCTTTGTTCATGCGGCAGGGTGGAGTGTTTTGCGCAGGGTATGCTGATACAAGGCGTCTCACCGACTTCGATGGCTACCGGGATTCGTCGTGATCTCTCGGTTGGCAAGATATACGTCATAAAGACTTTTGCCCTGAGCAATCCGCCAAATCAGTATCGGGCCTGTTCTTTTGATTTGGCTCTGGGTCTTTCGCCTTCGGCTTCTTTTCAGCCCTGTGTTTTGCCTACTTAAAGTTTCCCACTTGATGCTTACGAGTTTGTGGCTTTCTCTCAGTTGAATTTGCGTGCCGGTAACCATCGTTATTTGACAGGTTAGTGGGTTTGTTTTTGTTGGATTTGCTTTGTTTATATTTTTGCTGTTTGTTTACTAAAATTTTATCTTTCTACTGTTTTTGTAGGTGTCGTTGCAATGGCCTTTCCCCTTTCTCTCTCTCTCACTCACTTTTCCCCCCTATCTTTCTCTCTCACTTTTCTATCGGCGATGGTTTTTCACATCCAGTTTGGGAGATGGCGATCTCGAAACGATCAGGTTGTAGATTTGAGAGAGAGAGAGAAAGGGGATTTAAAGAATGCCCCGGTGCACATGTTATAATCTTGGTTTTGTTATCTTTCTGTCGTTCATGATTTTGCTATGTTTTTCATGGGTTTATTGTGATTATTTTTCAGATGAGATTTTGCAAGATGAAGTAAACGGTTGGTCGTTGATTGATCTGCTGTTCTTACGGATGGTGTGGGCAACAATAGGGGTTTGGAGTCCCAAAAAGAGTCGCTGGAATTTGGGCGAGGTTCGCTTTTTAATCCCCTGTTATATTCTTTGCAGTTCTGTTGTTGGCGAAGCTTTCCCTTACATGACAGATTATGTTTTTGCCTTTTGCGGATGATCATCTGATAGATTAGCTTTGTCCCTACTGGGCTGCTTTGGTCTGGTATTGTTTGGTGGGTTGCGGAATTTGACATTGGAGATTGTTTGATGGGTTTATGTAAGACACGTTACTGTTCATCTAGACACGCACAAGGTAATTGTTCTCTGTGTTGACTAGATGCGTCGCTCGCCATCTGCCTGTGCTTTCCACGCACAAATGAGGCGTGGGAGATTCAGAAACCTCCAGCAACCACCAAAAAGTATAACTTCTCAAACCACCTTCCACTGTTCATCTAGGATGCTTTGACTATTCGTTTAGACTCAATTTTACTATTCACCGGTTTGTGATTGGCTGTTGCTCCGATTGTTCAGTGGTTTCTGACGTGGTTGTTCAGTGGTTTCTGACATGGAATCTCGGTTCCCTTCAAGTTATTGATGGGATATCTGGTTAACATCTTTTAGTTTTGTTTTTTTTTTTATTGTTTGATTTGGTGAAGGTGATCTTTGCGTTGGTCGCAGGGTATCTTTGAGTTTCTTTGTAACTGGATTTTGCCTTTGTCTAAACTGTAGAGATCATGAGAGGAAGGGAGGTTGCTGATGGAGACAAGTCTTTGCTTTATTCCTTTCACGGTGGAGAACAGGAGAGAAGGAAAGTTTGCTGATTCAGACACGTAATTGCCTTATTCCTCACACTGTATAGGGGACTAGAGGTTGGCAGAGGAACGAAGGGTTGCTTATGGAGACTAGACACTAGACACTATATATATATATATATCTGAGGACGACGTAAATGATGTCGTTCCAATTATTTGCCAGGCCCATATAAATCTTGGGCTAACGAATATAAATTTTGACAAATTTGATTTTGAAATAGAGTCGGAGACCCAAAATTACAAAATACGATTCTTCTAATATACTATTTGAACACCTAATTAGATATGAAATTGCTCATCAGATGAGGATATGCAAATTGTATAATCATTTCTTCACGATATTGTTATGAAAACTGAGTCATACACTTTTTTTTAACAATAAAATACAATTTATCTTATTTCCTTTAGATAAACTCAAGTATAATTCCAATCCCAATGGGCCCTCTTTTATGATGCAAGTAGATATATGAATTGGGCCCAATATTTTCATACTTAGCCCGAATAAGAAATGGATTTATGCTTATATTAAATTTCTATAGTTTTTTGGAAGCCCATTCTATAATGGTTCGGTCCATTTGGGGAACAATTTATGTCCCAATGAATCTCCAATATACGATTTTATAATGGTAGTAAGAAATCGTTTTGGGGACCAACTTCCACCGCCTTTTCATTTCAGTTCTAATTCTGCCTTTTCAACTTTCCCTGTTCTCTGAACTCCTTTTCCCAGAAGCTACAGTGCTTCGCAACCTCCAGATCAGAGATAGTTGCATATTCATGGGGTATGATCGCCGATAGTTTTTCCTTTTGCATTCTGTCTTTGTTTCTTTGCACTTGAACCAATTTTTGATCTTCTATTGTATTTCTATATCAGCCATCGTTGTATAATGCCTCGTGATTTCAAACTTCCAACTCTTCCACGAGGTATCGACTCTGTTGCTTACTGTTTCAAGTTTCTATTTATTGGTTTATGAATGAACACTGCCGAAGTGTTAAGTTTTGGGGTTTTTCTTTATCTTTTGTTTATTACAGACCCAATTTCCACATGCATGGTGTTTCGTGGCCTCCGTCTTGGTGCTTATACTGATATTATGATCATCCGAGTTCTTAATGTATGGATTGAGTATAGTGATGACTCTCAAGGGCATAGAAGAACAATGCATGTGCTGTGTCTTGACAAAGAGGTCTGTCATTCGTCTATATAATGTAATATTTATTATTTATGTTTGATTGTGGTAATGCACTAAATCACATTTAACAGGAACATATGCTAGAGGCCTGTATTGAGGAAGATGACATTCAAGAAATGCAGCATAAGTTGATAGTTGGCGATTTACATGTTCTCGATGGCTTTCATGTTATTCCTGCGAGGGAAAACAGGCGTGTTGTTCCCGCTGAAGTTCGCTTTGCCTTAAGGAGTGAATAGATCATATTTTGCGTGCCTGACAATCCGACTTATCCCAAGTTTCCTGTCAATACTTTTCTGAAAACTTCGTTTTCGGCTGTTCCAATAGAGGCAGAAACAGTTGTGAATTATGGAGGTATTGTCCTCAGAAGCTGTTTTCACAAAATTTGTTCATGATTAGTTGCTTACTATGAATTTTGATTGCAGATGTTACAGGTTGCGTTGTTCATCTAACAATTCCAGAGGTTTCAAGTAATGTTGTCTTTAGGTTTGAGCTCATCATAGAAGACTGCAGGTTTCTTGCGTATTCTTGTGTTGACTTTTGTTTGTTAGACTTTTATGTAGGATTAACTGATCTTTTGTTATTTTGGATCTGGGGTTACAAAGTATTTGGAGTTTGCAGGGAAATCTGAATCTCGGCTTCCTCTCATTACCACAATTACTGCTGTTACAAGGTTGCCAGTTACAGATAGCACTGGAAATGCATATGTATTTCAATCTTCACCTGGGAGTCGTCTGATCATTGCTTCTTACAATCACCATTATGAAAAAATAATAAATAGGTATTATATTTGAATTCTATGTCTATATATTGACAAACCTACTCTGTTGGATGTTAGAAAAACAATACATACATTCTTTTTGTTGTTTAGGTTCATAGGTGATCGGATGCCAGTGACTTACATCAATAGTACTTCTCGCTGCTCTATTGGTCATCTTCGTGGTCTTCTTCCTCCCAAAAGAACACTCAGGCAGCTAAAGGATGATATAATGTTCCATTCACAAGCCTACCAGGTATATGTATAATATTGTATGTTCCTTCCTTCAGACTCTCTATCGTTGTATGCTAGAAATGACAAGATTTACGTACGGTCCAGAAGTCTTTAAATCAAGTTCAGGTTTTCCAAGGTATGATTCAATTTTATGTTTTGCTAATAATCTGTTGTCCATTGCATTTAAGGAAAATCAAAACGTTCCTTTCATTGTTTAATTCAGGGTACGATATGAATTACATGCAACATGTGAGTGCGAGGGCGAATATGTTGATGTTATCTTTGATCATGAAGCTGTGTTGGGCTTGGTTTGTGTTTCACCTGAGGAACTTTTCAGTTTAACCTATGAAGAAGAATATAAGTGCATTGAAGACAGGTGTTATGTGCCATTTGTGGTAGAAGCTTTTATTGCTCCTGGGAGTTCAGAAAATCCTCCTACTATTCGAATTGCTTCAATCTGGAACCCTAATGCCTTCGTGTGATTAAAAACTGTTCTACTTGGAACTTAGTTTGTCAGGACGGCTTATTTATAATTATGTATGTTATCTATTCAGGACATGTTTCTCTGTTTTCTGTAAAAAAAATCTGTTTGTTTTTCCCTAGCTACTCTGGTATTTTGATGTTACTTATGTATTACTATATGTTTTTATTATTTTTGTTTTGTTTGTAGGAATAGCATATTTCTAGCAGTTTGATATATATACATTGAATTGCCGAATCCAAAATATCTATCATATAGCTTTAATTTGGCTAGGTTCACGAGTTGGAGATATTTCTAGCACTTTGATTTATATATATTGAATTGCTGTATCACAAATGTCTATCGTTTAGCTTTAATCCGGTTAGAATGGAAAAATGATCATCGATGTCAATGACGAAAAGACTTTCTGGTGCATCCTATCCACTTCTATTTTCCTAGACTAGATTTCTATTCTCCCGCTTTAGTAGAATGAAAACAATGTCCAAATTTGATTTTATGGTTTGCGACAACTTTTGGACTTGACAAGGTTATTATGCACCGCCTTATGTTTCCTTGCATTGACAGAAGTTATTAAACAACGATGATACTCAGGGTGATGTTTCATAATCCATAAAACTTCATGGGTCAAACTTATCCCGCCGCGGAGCGCGGGCTGATTACTAGTACAAGTAATTTCCATAAATTAATTTCTTAGAAATTTCATCACAGAAATTGTTGTCGTTCATAACTAACTAGATTGATCAATTTACACGCAGTGGCGTAGCCAGGATTTTGGGTAAGGGGGTGCCAAAGAGAAAGAGGAAAGAAAGGAAGATGAAGGGTCAAGGGTGGGACTGGGAGAAGCTTGCTTGTTAGGGTTAAAGTTTCGATTACTGCTTGAATAAGCATGTAATTATGAGGTTTTTTAATTTAATTTACTTATTATTTCTAAACGTTAAATTATATATATGCAATAAAACGTATTAGTGTATCACATAAGTAATTTTGGTTTAGTGGAAGATGTCAAAACTAATAGTAAGGGGGTTTCATGTTCAAATCCTAGTAATAGCATAAACTAATACCCCCTATTTTTTTATGTTCTAGCCCCGACCCAAGGGTGTGTCATGGAACACCCTACTTACACTGTGTCTCCGCACCTATTTACA